GCGTGATATTTCAGGCTCCATGTGAGCCGTCGAGGCAGAGTCTACGTGGAAGGACCCAGCCGGTAAAGCAAGGGCTGATGAGATACTGGCTGAGTGATCCTTCAGCGTAAGGACGAATGGAGGTGGTATGGTAGACTCGTCAGTTGGGTCTGGCAGGGAGGGCACCGGGTTAGCGGCGGTTGTGGCAGGGGAGGAAGGACGAGGTGCTGACTTTGGAGTTTTGTCGTCCTTAGAGAGCCGTGCGCGACACTGTACCCAGACATGGCCGGCCTTTTGACAATGGCCGCACTTAGGTCGCCATCCTACTATCCACCCATCTCCTTTTGTCTCATCAAAACCTTTCGGCGGGACACGATCGCTGGTCTTGGGGTTGGAGGAGTTTCCTCCTCGATGTCCAGACAGCATGGCCACATGGTCACTGCCACTGGTTCCAGCGCGGTGTAATTCCTGAGTCTTCAGGCGGTTGACGACATCGCTGAAGTCCAGCGAAGTATCGCTGTTGACGAGGGTTTGACGAAGGGGGTCGTAGTAGTCAGGTAGGGTGCGCAACAGGACGTGCACGAAGATCGCGTCCGGGATCTTGTACTCGTCCTTTGCCGCAGTTGTAACGACACTGGAAGTGGAGGGTGCGACTGCTGTGGTGACAGAGAGAGCTGCAAGGTCGGATTTTAGCACGGTGAGGGTTTGCATAGTTTGGGCGATGGAGGAACTATCATGCGCCTTGGGAATGGTGAACAGGCGGTCCAGGTATTGATTGAATCGAATAGCCTTTTGGGGAAGGTACTTCTTTTCTAGAGCAATCCACGCCATGTGCGGGTCATCTATATCGCGGAGGTGGACGAAGTCCTGCGCATCAATCGCCGTGGACATAGCGCTGAGGGCGAGAAGTCGGCGTTGTTTATAGACTTGTACTCGTTCAGCGTGTTTCTCTGCGCGAATGATGTTTTGATCCACGTCCGTGAGTGTGGCTGGGGGGGATGGCTCCTTCTCGTCGCCGTTGACATATGGCCATAGCCCAATGCCGCCGGACCACATTTTAAAGCCAGTGGCCCATTGAGAATAGTTGGATCCGTCGAGGGTGAGCTTCTCATGCGGATATCGTTCAGTTTTGGGAAGGGAGTCCGAAGACGACATGGTAACGTCAGAGCCGAGTATTATCGGCGGGAATGAGAGATTTTGAGGAGAAGATGGCGCTACCCTTTAGGCAGGGCTCATAACCTGTTAGAGAGCGAGAACTAAGGTAACGCGAGTCTCAGTCAATGGAAGAAAGACTAGTTCATGTATGCTAACCTAAGGTAACGCGAGTCTGTAGGGCGCTAGTAAGTATCATGTATAGTATAATGTGAATGGTATACGCACCTCAGTCAATGGAAGAAAGACTGAGGTGCGGGTGTAGCGTCTAGCCATCCTTAAGTAGCAAAGAGAAAAATGGTCAGTAACTAGGGTGGATGACAGTCAGTAACAGTGGCAGCTAAGGTACATAGAACTGGAACCGTTAGATATATCTATCTGGAACCGGCTCAGTGCTCTGACGGATCACCTCTCAACAAAATTGCTTAAACCACTCAAAATTTGCCCGAGCAGAACAGATACCTAGTAGACTACAAATATTATGAATAAAAGGTTTAGGAGGACATTTAGCAATAAATATGAAAAGGTTTAGGAATACTACTACTATTACTACTGCATGGAAAGGTTTAGGTAGCTAACTTCAAGTTGGGCTCTAAGTCTCTAACAGGGAGGATTAGAACGAGGATACTCTGCGACAAGGTGTAGTAGAACGTCTCCCATGCGAAGGTCTAACCGACACGGAGGTGGCCAAATAAGGAAAGGTTTAGGTCCGCGTGAGTAATTTACGAGAGGTTGGCCGTAAGGTCAAGTCGACATTGACAACGACATTTTAGAATTGAGCAGCACTTAACTAATTTACAGAAGGTGGGAGTCGGGGACCTAATTCATAAACAATGACACACTAAGGAACACATAAGACAAGAAAATGTCCCCACTGCTAAAATAGCGACTACAGATCCTCCTCTTGAAAGAACTCTCGGATGATTTGTCCAAAGATAGTGACGGCTTTCTTGAGGTCGGCGAACTTCGGGATCAAGGCGTTAACAAGCACTCGGGTGCATTAGATTTGAAACACTTACCTCGGCATTGCTGAAACTGACACGGAAGTGACCGGAGTCGTTGTTGTGAGAGTCCTCGGCTATCGCATTGGCTGCGAATATCCATCCTGGTCCAAACAACACTCCGTTCTCTGCTAACTTCGTCCATAATTTTGTTTCCAAGGTATCTTCGTCTCCCGGGGCGAATGAGGGATGTTGGTCAAGATGAAGTTTCATCTCAACAGATGAAGCTCAGAATGGACACGACATGCAAGCAAACCGACCTACCCATACGAACATTCCCGCGACTGGGGGAACGAAGCTAAACATTGTGCGATCCCGGGCCGAATATTTCTCAGTCATACTGGTGCTCTTCTTGACTTTGGATGATGCTTGGTACACGGTGCAGCCTTCCCAGACGCCTGCAACTGCTGGAACCGCATGCAAATGGAACTCCTCTGCAAGACAGTCAATAAAGAAATCGCGGCGTTGCTGATACTCTGTTCGCAAACCTGATGGGATTTGCGTCATTGGTGATTCAAATAGGTGGATACAGTTACGCACCCCTGAGCCAGCGGATGTAACCATCGTAGGTCCAATGCATCAATATCTTCGTTACAACGGCCTGCAAAATTGATGTCAACCGCGACTACTCGACGAGGCGCCATCACAAATACCTGTCCGAAGCCACACGGAGCCTGAGTTGATGTTTCTCCCTGCCTTTCTAACCTCTCTGCAAAGGCAGGATTGCACGTGAACCATCCTAGTCGACTACCAGGAGCAATGGTCTGCCAAATGAACGTTCAACCTGATGGGAGTATAGAGACGTAGATTTCATGCCTTACCTTGGAAAAGGTATCGAGACGGATCACGCGTCCCTGGTAGTCGAAACTAAACCGAATTGTCAGATGAAATAATGTAAAAAATGAAGGGCTCATACTATAAGAAGCTAGGGGTCAGAGTGGAGATATATCGCTTAGATTCGTCGGCTGACGGTTTTCCAGAAGGCGTTGCACCAGGGAACCTGTCGTCTTTAGATGTGTACGTTCCCAGTTGAAGAAAATAATATGGATCGTCTTCGACAATTATTACGTCTAAGCGCAACTCATTTAGCTAGCCGGTTTAGTTGTTCTCTCAAAACAGTATGCTGACCGTATTTGACACAGATATCATAGATCTGTTTCTTACGAGCGACGCTCATCGTCTGCATGCATCAATCTTGAGAATGCATTCCCAAGCCGATCTGCAAAGAAGTATGCTTACCGAGCCACTCGGGTTCTGTCCGACAGGTACGATATACATGACATGAGGCCTGGGAAAGGTTCAGGTACGGGCGAAATTCTGCATTGTAATCCATCTTGCCTTGGCATCTGACGTGAAACTGGGTCCCATTGCGACAGCAAGTTCTCGAGGTCATCGCTCTTCATGCCCAATCCATCCATGGCCACAGGTACAGGCTTGATATTGAAAGGGACCATTGATGCCACGGCGGAAGGATAAGTCCACTCTTCGCATAGTACACACCCTCGCCAGGGTTGCACAGTGTCGTAACCGCTCTCGACCACCTAAATGATCATCGTCACAACAAAGATTATAACATAACTGAACTGGCGCACCCGTCAGTATTACCAGTGTCGATAAGGACGGCCCAATCCTCAAAAGCGGGACGATAGACCTCGGAAATGAACTGTTTCAAGAAATCTTGTAACTGTGCCATTCCGATTGCTTGGCCGTATTGAAGAGAGGTGGCTAGGTTGATTTCCCCTGTAACGACAGGGTACTTGGGAATGGTGACAGCCTGAGTCTTCTCCTTGGTTGCATCGTGGCTACCGAATAACTTCCACAGCCATGACAAAGAGGTAGACGGCTCGGTCGGAGAGAGAGCAAATGATTCTGGTACCAAAACGTTTGCAGAAATGTCAGAGACAGGGAAATACGCAGGACTAGGCAAGCCTGCCAAGTCAAATTAGATATATTCAAATTAAAAGACGAGATGTGCAAACCTCCTGCGAGGGATAGAATTCCTGGCTGTGCGAAGTACTTCATGACCCCCTTCAATGGAGAGATTGTCCTAGCCTTTGATAGCTCGGAAAGGTGGTGAGAGAGATCAATAGACTTTGTGCCATGCTTCTCGATACTCATGATAGCAGGATAACAGTCAGCGCAGGACTGGTGTGGTCTAAAGTGAGGACGAGTCTGCTGCGACCGTCAGGGTTGCGATAAGCCCGACATTATAACGATAGCGAGCTATACTTAAGTGAGAGTAGTATGTTGTAGTAAGCAGGACTAGTTCCCACATGTGCACGAGGTACTTACCTACTAATACTTGTACTGAGAGTCCCTATTGGGGACTCTGAGTACAAGTTATTTCTTCCGGTGTTACGAAGTTCCGATTTAAAATGTCTAGCGAATCGGTAATCAGCCTCAGGAGTCAGGCGAGTGCCGTGCGACTCGACAAACTGCGGGCAAGCCTGGCAGCGAATATGCCCTAAGCTGACATTAATGCTACGTAGCTCAAAAAAGAGCTGGTTTCACCTGTTCGTTTTGTCCACTAGATGTCAGGCAAAAGATGAAACACGATGAAACAGGCACAGTCACGTACGGTAGGACGGCATGGATTGTGTGAGTTCGGAAGATCTCTCAAACCCTTAGTCACACTGGCATACGGTGCCGAAAAGCCGATCAGACAAGCTTGTCGCGACGTCGCTACCGCAAAACATGGACTACGGTTGGCCTACGGACACTGAGGACAGGTCAGAACATATCGGCTGGCAGTCAACTGGTGGGCCCTCCTGTCATGGTGGGTCTGCAGCAGTGGTCATAGTCTCCCCTAGCCTCTACTAGTAGACACTGGACAGTGACCGATAGGACAGCCTGAGGAAATCAGTTGATCGCTTCTATAAAGGGCCGCAGCGACTGGTCGACCGCTAGTCACATTAATGTCAAACAAATTATGGTCCAGTTGTCCTGTATTTCTTTTTATATGCTAGCTCAACTGCAGCTGGTGTGAGTTTGCGCAACTTAGGCGTCTTTAAGCGTGCTCAGTCTCACGTTCACGTGCGCCTTTAATTTACGTCGAATTTACCAAAACACAATATACGTAGGCTTTGTACCAGTGGCCCAGGGCGTGTGTGGAGTTAGACGTGGTCTATCCAACTGTAAAATGTAGGCAGCTAATTATGTGCGTGTCCAGATGGATCAAGGCATAGTCATGAAGCATAAAGCATAGACTTGGCATTTCTGATGTATGAAAACGGGATTGCGGCATGAAACCTGAGAACGTCATCATCGATCTTCCTCCCATACGCTGAACCGTGCTTAGGTCGCTCGATACGCCGTTTCTTGTGGGGGCGGGGAAGGGTGTCAGAAAAGAAGGATGATGATTCTGCGTAGACCATTAGTCTAGAAACACAAAATACCATCAAGTTAAGCGAAAGCCTACCTGAACGGATATCCCTCAGCGCCCATACAAGAAGCGCGATGCGCGAGCGCGCGAAGGTCGGCTACCCGCTGGAAGGTCAAGACTACAAGGTGGACTTGTCAATATGATAAGATCGTGGTGTGTACAGCATTGCCAACCTTAATGTTGACTATTCGTCAGGTGAGAACTGTGGGTCCTAAGGAGAGAATAGGCTTGCGCATCCGTGCTTTTATAAGAACCGGTTGCATATGTAACCCTAGATCTCGAGACAGGGCAACAACATGAGGGAGGCATTTGTTGCTATCGATAAGATGGCGTGAATGTTTCAAAACATGTGTGCCCGCCAAAATAGGCCAGATCGCATTTGGGAGTTTGCTCAATAAATGGCCAGAATTCTGGTTGGTTTGGTTGATTTGGGGTACTATCCCGCAAGGATGAGCACCCCGGATCGATCCAATCAGTTTGACCTACTGACAAGAGCGCGAAAATCAACCTCAGCCGTTCATTTTAAGAGGCGATCGTGCCGCACTGAACGTGTTGCCGCATCTGTTGATGGTGACCCATTAGGAAGCAGGTGACTCGGAGACGAGAGAAGCCATTCGCAGAGCCTCGAGAAATCTGGCGGATTCAGATTAAGTACGAGGTTAGGTCGCGCCACAGGGTCCACTGGGGTTACTGACTGCTTCAGGGCAGGTTGCAAATACGCGGGTTACGAAATTGATCTTTAACGCTCATATTGAACCAGTTCCTCATCGTCACCCTCGTCCTCGTCAAAGTAAGGTGGGAAGAGAAGTTTAGTGGTTCGCTGGAAGAGGGAAGTGTTGAGGTGCGAATGCATTTGCTCTCTTCAATAATTTCATCTTATTCTTCGATTCTATTCAGAAGGATCTGAGACTGTAGATATGGCGTATCAGTTTTCCAGGAAGGGATGCTTCAAGTGCGGAAACTGCAAGTTCTTCCTGCGTCATCGCTCATCTTTCATACAATCTAATATTGTTCCAGTGGGTCACATTGCTGAAAATTGCTCTTCTGAGCAGCGCCTCTGCTACAATTGTCGTCAACCTGGCCATGAGTCTTCAGCTTGTCCGTCGCCTCGTACCGTTGCTGCAAAGCAGTGTTACTCCTGTGGTGGTGTTGGTCATATTCAGGCAGAATGTCCCAATTTGAGGGTTCAAAGCGGAAATCAAAAGTGCTACGTACGTTTACAGCTTGTCGAGAGCGCTGTTACTTGATGCCCTGTTGAACCTACCACATATCAGAATTGCGGTCGGTTTGGACACATTGCTCGCGTTTGTCCGAGTGGGGCTACTGGAGTGTCAGGGACCGGGACCGGGGCCGGGTTTGCTTCTCGTGCACCTCCCCCGGGACGTGCTCTGAATACATCTACACTTCCTCCAGTGAAATGCTACCGATGTGGAGGACCCAATCATATGGCAAGGTGAAGAGTCTCAAAACTATCGCGAATTGACACTAAAAATGCTTAGGGACTGTCTTGCCGCTCCGGGCTCGACCTTGGCCGACGGAACATCTGGAGCGACCAAGAGCAAAACTTGTTACAAGTGTTCACAAGAGGGGCATGTGCGTCTCATCTGTCTTTTTCCTTTCTTTTTTCAGTGCTTGATATGTTCCCTCGAAGATCGCAAGGGACTGCCCAGAGAATGAGTTGTTTGCGACATAAATTGTCTCGTTGTGCAATTCTTGGAGGTATTAAGAGATCGTCTACTCCCTCTTCCGTATATGTGTGCGGTGTTTATTTTGCAGTTAACTTATCTCGACATTTTTTTATCTCCGCAACCTTAGGATATGACTTCTTGATCTGCATGAGCACAGGTTAAGATCGGGGCGAAAGCTATCAATTACTTCGAAGCAACTGACGAGCATTTGGGCAGTGGGCACACTAGTGCTAATCTACCATGCGGCACAAGGGATGAATTGATGATCGACAACGGGATACCCTTTGGAGCGCCACGGGTCGAGGTATCATAATAGAAAAAAGGTGCAAAAGAGGCCAAATTCTGGAAGGTGACCGCTGATCATACACGTGAACCCAACGAGTCATCACATACATTGAGCTCGTTGTCATATGTTGAAACGATGTATGCGTATTCTTCGCGACACTGCCTTCGCACGCCGTACCAATGAGCTGCTCCCACAGAAACAAATACAGTAAGATCCTCGAGCGAGTGAGCGAGAATTCAAAGATCAGTGAGATCAAACCGGATATCGATCAACCCCTTTCCCTGTGCGCTTAGCGATTAGAACGTGGACCGCTTCTGAACTGATAATAGAGCGTCATAACTTCCGACATGGTCTAGAAAGGTCCAACTGATTATTAGATAGAAGTAACATCTGACAAGTTAACAAGATGGATTATACCTTGCTCCCCGACGACACGCTGGTCAACGCTGGGGTCCGAGTTGGCGCTGCGAAACTGGCAGCTGCTAGCCGTCGCATTGGGAAGAAACTAACTATTCAGAAACATGAGAAACCACGGTGGCACCCAATGTTACGGCATCAAAGTTCCATCCGAGGTCGTTTACTGGTGTTTCATCGATCATCACTGTTCACTTGATGCTGCGACTCGTGCGACTGCGATGTTTATACGTTACCGGTCGCAAGGCCTCTCATCAGAGAGGCTTCTTCACCCTTCCAAACTTCTCGCCCTTCTCGCCCTCATCACCCAACTCTGATGAACAGCCACCAACACAAACTTACCATGAACGCAAGATTTTTCCGTATGTTATCCCCGACGATCATATCCACATTCTTTGGGACTGATCAGTGCCCCAAGTTACGGACGCATAGATCTATACAACTTAGTTGCAGATGTTGGTTCATATCCCAGTTTCGTGCCATATTGCACTGGTTCAACAATCTTGGAACGACGTGTGGGCCAGGATGGTGTGGTCACGATGGACGCGGAGTTAATGGTCGGTTTCTTGGCATTTAAAGAGAGTTATGTTAGCAGGGTGACATGTCGACCTTATGAATCCGTCCAGGTCAGTTTGTCTCATCATTCTGGTGGAGTGCAGTCACCATTTCTTGAAATTATAGGCCGAAGCATCGAGCTCAACCCCTCTCTTCAAGACCCTTCAAACAACATGGCGCTTCCAACCAGCTTCGTCAATATCCCCTCACCTTTCCAGTGGTCTACCGCTCCATGGTGATGCCGGGAACTTCGTACCCGTGGATAGCCATTCTCCTGATGCCGGACCCACTCTTGTCACACTGGATATCGCCTTCGCATTTGAAAACCCGTTGCACTCTGCTCTCTCTGCCAATTTTTTTGGAAAGGTGTCTACGCTGATGGTGCAAGCCTTTGAAGAACGCTGTCTGGCTGTGTACGGATCCGGGACTAAGTAATCTACAGACGTGCAATAAAAATATATGTTAAAAATGCAAGGGGATCAATATCTGCCATGATGGAATGTACAATTTGGTATGTGTGAGTGGAAGTGAGAATTATGCGATCAGATCTTCCCGTGATAGGCTGCTGATACCCTAGATGTACGATTGATCAATGAACCTAAGGCAATAAGAAGCCCTGCGACGCTCGAGCGCATGACAGGCCTGGACTATGATGCACATGTCAGTTCGGTTGGATCGGCAACTAGTCACGACGCACGATGAACGGATACGGGCTCAAAGTGGTTCGTGTTCAACAAAAATTGTTGCTAGAGGCCGAATGCAGGAAAGTCAGGAGCCTTAACCCTTTTCGCTACATCGTTGTCAGCTTTGATCCTCTCCGGCACGTCCAGCTTTCCAGTCTCCTCTATTGGCTTTTCATATTTCTTGGTCTGTTGTAAAACCACAGAACCTACGGTCCCGCGAGCCCTCCTTCTAGCTTCTTTCTCTCCCGGTTTCCAGAGGATTTTTTCTATCGGAGGTTCAGGGTAGTTATTTATCTTGGTCTTGTAGTCCGGTGTCAACCTCCAGTGCCAGATATTGGACATAGGCATATTTAAGTCGCTCGTAATTTCTGTCTTGCCATATGCCTTAGACACGATAGACATATCGCGAGTGCCGTCTTCATGAAGTTTTCCTCGTTTTATGTGCACCTTCTCGATTTCCTGGGCCATCGCCATTTCTTCGAGGACTGTCTTCTTCAGGTATCTGTGCACTTGTTAAATTTTTCGTTCAGATGCCAAGAACATACTCACTTTACTGAACGAATTGCGTGATCTATTTTAGGAGGGAGAGGCACAGCTTTAGCGGGTTTAGACCTGCCTCCATGGTTGCGAAGGCCGGTAGGGATCGGCTTCCCTGCTGGTATGTCTGTAGTTACATCTGGGAACTCCTCGTGTACTCTTTCGTAAATCTCGTGCATCTTGAGCCCAAGTTCACGATGAGGAGCTGAGGCAAGTATTTTGCGTACGATGCTTCGAGCTTCTGGCGTGCTAAAGTTGACCCAGGTTTTCAGTTGGTGGTTGATCATGTCCCCGAACCATACGTGGCAAGCTTTGCCCTGGTAATTTTCAGCAGCTGAAAGACGTCAAGCTTAAGGGCGGAATTAGATAAATGGGTTAGGTGCGGTTGTACCACTGCGGATTGTGACCAAGCTTCCGAACGGCTAGGGGGATGATCAGAGTACAGACTCCGGCAAGGTACTTAGAAGTTACAACTTTGAAGATTCACACGGGGTTGATAACTCTCCGACGAATCGGACCCCTGAAGGTCTGCTGTGATATTAATGGACGACAATGGACTCGTCAAGACTTCCGGAGTCCCATATATTCTCTCAAGGGCGTATCACACCCATGCATTGGTTCACTGTTATTATGCTACCAAGGCTGTTGGTTCAGGCTCAGTTTTTTTGTACAGGTTTCAGGACTTTTGTAAATTGAAAGGTTGGCTGTGTACATATGATGGTATTGTGACGGGTGTGACAACATTTTGGGATGGTTGAAAGCGCAGCAGTTGCAACGCTGGTCACCATCAGGGTTGCAACTTGCAACCCTGAAAGTTTCATGAAGAAGATAAATTTTCAAAAGTATCGGCCAAATTTTCTGCAGGTGGGTAGCATCGGAATAAAAGGTGGGATTTGGAGCCCTTCGGCTCCCATAGTGTCCGCTGAGCATGCGCCCGTGAATGAATGAAGGACCCTGGACACCTCGAGATGGCTCGCAAGCAACCATCAAATATAAATATAAATCAATATCTTTGGCAAGTTTTTGAGCTATCTAGCAGCTGGTTTTCTATGGATTTATTACAGTCGATAGTTGGGTGCAGGCATTCAAGTAGGGTTGACCGATTTTTGGAAGTCGAGTGCCTGAGGCTGACGGAGAGGGCTGGGTGGGGTGTTTGGGGTCCAAAGAAGCTGTGTATATCATCGCCTGCATTTCCCTTTTTTGACCAGTACAAAACCGTTGCTGCCTTGTGTTCATTTACAACCCTCAACATTTGCCTCTCTCCATTCTGCCCCTTCAACTATTCGGGCATCGTCCAAGGCATCCTCAAGCTCTTGTTTACAGCGTACTTCACCTGGTGTGATACAGTATGACGTCCCCGAGGCCCCGTAATGATCAGTTATCCGGCGACCCATTTGCAGATCGACCACGCCAGACCCACTTCCAGGAGCCTGCGCCTCATTATAATAGCGCGTCTGGCTCGCCCTTCGATAGTACTACGAACCTACCCCGCGAGTTCGGTGCTAATTATGTAGACGAAGACTATGCTGAAAAGCTTCCGCTCACTGGAGGTGATGACTATAATCCTGGCGGCTTTTATCCACCCGGGTAAGTCGAATTAATATCTCGATTATTCGGCGCTTCTCTTAAACTTCTTTTCTTCATTAAATTTTTACTCATAAATCATTTCTCCATAGACCAGTCGACCCTTCAGCCTATGGGGACCCGTATGCTCGCCCTATGTCTACTACGTCATCCTCGACAAATGGCGTAGACACTGCTTGGAGGCGTCGTCAGACCATTAAACGTGGTGTGACCCGCAAAGTCAAGCTCACAAAGGGTAACTTCATCACGGAATACCCGGTCCCAACGCCAGTACATAGCGCCATTGAAGCAAAATATGCCGCCACCAATACCACTGAATTCTCGTAAGTTACTTCATAAGTCAATATGAAACTGAATCGAACTCATGCGGACATCTCCCAGCCACATGCGATACAGCGCAGCAACATGTGACCCGGACGATTTCACAGAGGCCAATGGCTGGTCTTTGAGAACCAAGATCTATGGTCGGCAAACTGACCTCCTCATCGCCGTTACATCCTATAACGAAGACAAAACACTTTATGCGAGAACACTTCATGGCGTCATGATGAACATTCGCGACATTTGCAAGACCAAGCAGTCCAAGTACTGGCGGCGAGCGGCTGAAGAAGGCATGCCTGGCTGGCAAAGAATCACAGTTGCCCTTATTGTCGATGGACTCGAGCCCATGGACAAGAGCGTATTGGATATCCTGGCCACCGTCGGCGTCTACCAAGATGGTGTCATGAAGAAACAAGTTGACGGTAAAGACACTGTCGCACATATCTTCGAGGTTTGCACCAGTCATTCAATTGTCATTGGCTATATCGCTTATATCTCGACTATAGTATACCACTCAATTGTCGGTTGATGCCAAGCCCCAGCTTGTGCTTCCTCATGAGAACGATCCCAACAATTTAGTACCCGTGCAGATCATTTTCGTCCTCAAGGCCAAGAATCAGAAGAAGATCAATTCACATCGGTGGTTGTTTAATGCCATCGGTAAAATTTTGGAGGTGAGGCGAATCGCAAGCACACGTTCGTTTAACTGGAACCTTTTTAGCCTCAATATTGCGTGCTCATTGACGCTGGTACCAAACCTGGACACAAATCCATCTATTACCTTTGGGAAGCATTCTATAACGATGCTCATCTTGGTGGATGCTGCGGTGAAATTCACGCCATGATTGAGGGTGGCAGGAAGCTCCTCAACCCTCTGGTTGCTGCCCAGAACTTTGAGTACAAAATGTCTAACATTCTTGGTATGTCATTCGTCCAGATCTTGCATACTGTTATCTTATTACATGACAGACAAGCCACTTGAAAGTAGTTTCGGCTATGTATCAGTGCTTCCTGGTGCTTTCTCCGCGTACCGTTTCCGGGCGATCTTGGGTCGGCCACTAGAACAATATTTCCACGGTGACCACTCGTTGGCTGACCGTCTTGGTCCCAAGGGTATCTACGGCATGAACATTTTTACCAAGAACATGTTCTTGGCTGAGGATCGTATCTTGTGTTTCGAGCTCGTTGCCAAGGCTGGTGATAGGTGGACGTTGACGTATGTCAAACCCTCAAAGGCCGAGACAGATGTGCCAGAATCCGCCGTCGAGTTGATTGGTCAACGTCGTCGATGGTTGAATGGTTCATTCGCTGCTTCAGTTGTGAGTATCCACCACGTTGTTGAATACAAGTTTGTCTGATTATTTTCCTTCAGTACGCTCTGGTCAATTTCTTCCAACTCTACCGCTCTGGTCATGGCATCGTTCGCATGTTCTTCTTCCACATTCAAGCTTTTGTACGTCTTATCATTTCTGGTTTGTATTCTGTTGCTGACTCGGGTGACAGTACAACATCTTCTCATTGTTGTTCTCGTGGTTTGCATTGGCGAACATTTGGTTAACGTTCAGCATCATCATCGACTTGCTCCCCACGCAAGGCATCATTATTTTCGGCACTGCGGACGTCGTATGTAATCAATCATTGCGCTCGAAAGATTGACACTAAGCATAGGCTCGCAGACGTACTGGGTGAACTCGGCTTTCAAATGGATCTACCTTGCCTTCCTCGGGCTGCAGTTTGTGCTGGCTCTTGGTAACAGACCGAAGGGTGAACGGACGGCATATGCAATCACACTATGGTTTGTACAAGTCAGAGTCTTTACCCTACTCAAGCTGACTTATGCACAGGGTCTACGCCTTCTTGGCCGTTTACCTTCTCGTGTGTTCGTTCTGGCTAACCGGCAAGGCATTCGCTGTAAGTTTTACTGTTCTCGGGTCCTTGCGTAGACTGTCCTGACGATGCACGTTTATGGTAGAACATTCCCAGCGAGCTGAAGAACAAGACGATATCTCAAGTCATTCTGACCTTTTTTTCGCCCCCTGTTGGTGCTTTGATTGCTGCGATGGTCTCCACTTTCGGTATGTGATGCCTCGTATTTTGTAGTGATTCTTTGGCTTATTCATGAGATAGGCATCTACCTCGTTGCATCGTTCCTCTATGTGAGCTGCTTCTCTGTTTGAAATGGTACTGTCTGACCTCGTGTTTCAGCGGGATCCTTGGCACATCTTCTCCAGTTTCTTCCAATACCTGTGCTTAGCTCCAAGTTTCACGAATGTGCTCAACGTTTATGCATTCTGTAACTTGCACGATGTGCGTCGCCCTTCATTATTTAGAATTCAGCTTTAGTTGACAACAATGGTTTCAGGTGTCCTGGGGTACAAAGGGCAGTGACAAGGCAGAAGCTTTGCCATCAATCTCGTCGTCTAAGACCAAAGACGCGGACTCTCCTGTTGTCGAGGATACGCACCGCATCCAAGAAGATGTGGATGCTGCATTCAAAGAGACCGTCACTCGCGCAGTGACCAAGATCGATGTCAAGGAAGCCGTTGAGAAGCCGACGATGGATGATCAAAACAAGACGTTCCGTACGCGTCTCGTTGCCTGCTGGATGCTCTCGAACGCTACACTGGCAATTGCCATTGAGAACATCAACGGTCTCACGAATCCTACTGATGCGGTAGTGGAAGCGGCGGAGCTGCAGACGAAGCAAAACATTTATTTTGCTGTTATCCTGTACTCCACATTCTTTCTTGCAGCTGTGCGGTTTACCGGGGTGAGTTATTCTAGCCGTATCTTTGTCGCAACGTCACTCACGCATTGTTTCAGTGCTTGATCTACTGGTTCAGACGCAATCTTTTCAGATGCTGCAGGAGGAATTGAACAGTTCTCTTTTTTTGTGTTTGGTAAACAGAATTTATTTTGTGCATGGACTTGACGAAAACAGCTATCATCTACTCTCCTTTCGTATCCCTCTCCGTATCATGCAGCTGGACAATCTGAACTTCATGAGTATCATCTTACACTACTCGGGTTGACGCCTCGCTCGTTTTTATTCACTTAGCCTATCTTTGTCTGCGCCAGTAGTTGATGGTTACTCAATGAATGAATTAATGAAGTGGGGGTTTAATCTCAATTTGAGCAAGGAATGCATGTAATACAAAGCTACGAGTACATCCCAGAAAATTCATCTCGACTTTCCCGTTGCTGGGCAGATGGACGACCACCTATCGCCATCGAGGGGACGCCCAGGATGGGCAGCAAGCCTGCGCCGCCAGATTCTCTGGCAACCATCGAGCTCTCAACAATCCACTCAGTAAAATCATCTGGCAGAGAAGTCTCTCCCGTCTCACGCTGGTCAGTATCACCCGCGCCGGTCGTTAGGAAAGCCCTGCGACAAGTGGGGCAAGACTTGCGCTAGGAAGTGGCGTAAATGGAAGCTGTCAAGTACAAAGCTTGTTAACTTACACCGTCTCGTATCCATTTCGTGATACTAATCTCGCTTTATCAGTAACGTCATTCAAATGAAGGATGTCCACTCAACTCTCTTCGGCAGAACATATGCCCGCATGTTTCCTGGAGCCTAGTCACGCCTAGTTCCTCTACTGGATGCGCGGGGGAGTCCATCACGAGTGCCATTTCCTCTTCAGCCAGGATGGCCAAGAATGTATTAAAACATATGGGGCAAACTGATTCTGTTGCGCCTATCTAGTTTGGGAACGTATGACGTATGAACGAACTCGCCAGAATGTCCCAAGTCTTTAAGCTCGGTTTCTGAGATCTTAGGGAGACTTGTAATGAGTTCTTGTATCCGTTTATGAGAGGGATGGTGAGATCTGCCTAGGGAGTCTTGTTCAAGCATTGCACGTAAACCTGCAACATTCATAGAAAACTGAGGAGGTTCCATGGTCACCTCGTTTACAACTAGAAGGGAGATGGGAAACGAATGCAATCAATGTATTCGTATAATAAGGCATACATACTAGCCGCGACGCGTAACACTACAGCAAAGCGTGGGAACATTCTACAACCTCCTACAACATCGCTAGACTCTACACAGGCAAGCAAGATTTATCGACACAGACAAGAGCATAATACAACAAACGACGTGAGGTTATCATGGAGGTGCGAGACTGGGCCAACTGCGTTCTGTCTTAGAAGGGATTCTCGTCTTCTTCCATCAGTACTTCTGAAGACGTGTCTTTTGTAGGTTCTGTGTCGCCTTGACTGTGATCTTCTTGCTCTGATGAATGTGACTCTTTAGGTGGGAAGAGGGTACCCATGGGTTTCGCGCCCCTGCATCACAGATTGCATCAGGACTGAGTACAAAGGTCCACGGGGATAGGTAATACGTACTTAGTGAAGTGTTTCTGCTTCGCAGCATTCAGCTTCTGCGTGACGGGTGTCATCAGGTTGTCCGTCGGTGAGACAAACTTGGGATTGCTGGAAAGAACGCGTGAATAAGGTCAACATCTGCCACTGATCTACGAGGCGTTCGTGAACCCACTTGCTCTTCGCCATCTTTTTGGCTAAGAGGGCTTTCATGCCCATTCCAGGTATAGTGTTATTGGTACCGTTTGCGACATGTCCAAGCGGTGCTTGTGGGACGACGATGTGAGCGGCTTGCGAGGGATTGTGCATTGGCTGAATGGGAGCAGAGACAGGAGAGTCTGTAGGCGTAGATGTGGCAGACATTTTGATGATTGATTTCAAAGTAGGAGCAGAAAGGACTTATGAAAGACAAAGCAGTGACTAGTGTCAAATAGTTGAAGTCGAAGTCGAATCCCTTTGACCACTTGGTCGCGTTCGAAAATCAACTGGACGCGTGACTGCACGTGACTTTATCATCACGTGCCATCTGTGGACTTGGGAAGGTCAAATGCGGCATGCCATATTCATCACAAATACCTCTCAGCTTACTGGTAGCGAATCTCCAAATACTCTCACCCATAACATTATTTTATACCAGGAGCAGTCCATCCCTCGGACTTCCAGGACAATTAAGTCAATCTCCGACCCTCATAGAAATCTCGCAGGCTGTACTGACCGGCAGTGCGCCAAGCCACATGATATAGTTTGTAACTGCGTAGGGCCAATACTTCCTAAATTCAACCAAGTGATAGTTATCTGGCTTCGCTGGCTGTAGTACGGGTGTGGTGGCGTTACTTCCACGGCCATTTATTTCCACATATGTTGTGCACAGGCTCTTCTAGGAGGGGCGCTCAAGCCCCTGGCTTGTGAATTGCTATTCTTTGTCACAGGAAGTCGTGAAACCCGATCACACGGTGGAGGTTGGAGCTGGTCGACAATGTCGCGTCCTCCCACGTGCCATATTGCGTGTCACATCTCTTATTTCGTGGTCTCATTGAACCTCTGGATACCGTTTCCATGTGATAGATCTTCAGGCAAGAGAGGAAGTCCCCTCTCATGCTGTACTGGTGAGTAATTGAACCAGTAGGGATCATTTGTCCTTGTCAAACCTTACACTTGTGGCTAGCTCAATTTAGTGCTTGTCTCCCGGTCTGCGCCACTGAATGGACTTTTTCCCAAGGTCTCTTACGTCCTGTTGTTTGGATTGCCGATGCGGCGCACAAGCTCCTCCCCTGGGCTTCACATAGCAAATCCGTCATCGCCAGCAGTCCGAATAGTTGGTATTTTGCCTTCTCGAGCATTCTGATTTCCCTCTAGTGCCACGACATTTCGTTGTATGTACTCCGGACCAAGCGACGTAATGTTCAGGGCATCAGTACGTGATTCCTGCGTTACGACAGGCATCTTCAATGTCTGTTATCTTCGCGCCCAACGGCCATCAAACAATCAATCGCATATTTTGACGGCGCATCTCTCCTACGGTTTTGTCCTTACCCTAGGCAAAAGATATTTTCCCTGAGCGGCAGTCATCAAAAATGTCAATCACAATCCGGAAAAGACCGCTGGCGTGCAAGTGCTGGCCACACTACGGAGGCTGTAGATAGTAAATTACTCATTGCTATCTGCATTTGCCTGACAATGGTTGTAAGAAATGATGTAGTTGCCGAGAGATTCGGGCCGTTTCCAGCGGATCACAAGACCCAGGAGAAAGCCATGTGGGCTCTTCGGTGAGAGCAGTGACGATAGCCCGACGGTTAAGAAGCGAAGCGAGGTGCTATTACTCTCTGTATTAGATGGGCGAGACCTTCGACGTGGATGTCTCGTGGACAGTGTTCCTGAAAAATGTACATTACAAGTTGCGGTCCGTAACCTGAGCTGTAACGAGTAAGACCCCGTATACAATATGGTACTAGTACAGGAGTTCCTGCCTTTTCCTGCCATGGAGAATCCAATTACCTCTATCGTATTTATATAAACCTAGCCTTCAGCTACCGGGAGGAAGGCCCACTCGAGTTTCCGAGACTTACGACCAAAGCTAGCGCTCGCTGACGAAGTCTTGTCACCTACGGCTAAACTTGGGGTCACAGTTCCACATTGCCACAACTGTTTACATTTTTTGGTCTTTTCATCGTGTTCGCCTTCTTCGTCTATCTCTTCCACTTCTCTCGTTTATTTCATATACAATATCTTGTTAATATGGCTGCCAACACTTTGAGAAAGAGAAAAATCGCAGTTCTAGGTTCCCGTTCAGTTGGTATGTTGATCTTATTCTCGACGTCATGATACTCACCCGCTACTCTCGCAACAGGCAAATCTTCTCTTGTCATACAGTTCATCGAGAACCATTTTGTCGATGCATACTATCCAACCATCGAAAACACCTTTTCGAAAGGCGTAGCTTATAGAGGCGTGGAATATGACTGTGACATCATTGACACCGCTGGCCAGGTGTGCATTCTCATACATCATTGCATATCCACATTAATTTACATTGACAGGACGAGTACTCGATTCTCAGTTCTAAACATGCAATTGGTATTCACGGCTACGTCCTCGTATACTCAGTCGCCTCAAGACGATCTTTTGACATGATCAAAATCGTATACGACAAAATCGTTGATTTTTGTGGCAAAAACGATATCCCATGTGTAATCGTCGGCGCTAAAACTGATTTACAGTCGAGGTAGGTTATCATTCTTCTTTGTGCTTGGCCGTTCCACACTTGTGCTTTTTGTCAATGCTCTATTTTCATGCCTTACAGTCCCAATAGCAGACAGGTGGCTCCAAATGAAGGGGAAGAGTTGGCAAAACTCAACAACGCTGCTTGGGTTGAGACTAGCGCAAAGAATAATGTCAACGTTGGTAAGGAATTATCACACTTCTCAATATATATCTTATTCACGCGGCCTCATCACAGGCAAAGTCTTCGAGCTATGTCTTGCGGAGATTGAGAAGCGATCACCGTCTAGCAAAACGGATCAGCCAGAAGCAAGCAGGTGTCTCATTATGTGATAGACGCGACTCGGCCATCTCTGGTCACCTGTCTGTCATGCTCTCCGGTTACCCAGTCTCCCTTCATACCCTAAGCCGCTCGTTTTCCCTTGCACAAATATTTCCCTCCGTTCCCTAGGAGTTCTTCATTTTATCCGATTTTTCCATCGGATTAGACTGTTCTTTTATAGTCCACTACATTGGTCAATGTCTCGCTGCGACTTGTACAGTGTGTAAAATAATGCTTTCCTGGGGTCTCTCTGCCTGGTTTTCAACAGTACTAGTGTCTTCCCTGGTGGTTCATAATTCGTATTCATATTTACACAATTTGTCCATTCCGTAAGGTGCTTTGCTCCTATATTCGGTAGGTCGATTGGATTTAATTCTCATCTTGTTATACGTAAGTGTATATCGATATGAATACATGGTGACCTTATCATTTACGCCGTGCCATCGCCAAGGAAGCGGGCCTTCACATCTCTACCCTTCAACCCAACGGCCTTTACAATCTGGGGATCTCCTGGAACCAGATCGATGGCCTGGTCGCTCCACTCCACGTCCTCGCCTTCAGCATCTAGAATAATTCCTTTTATAGGTTTTTGAGTAGAGAGTTCGACGGATTCGCCGTCGCTCCCGGTTTTGACAGAAAACCCCAGATCTTTGATGGCGGGAAAGTTGATAAATTTAAAAGGTTCTGGCCTATAACAGTGTCAGGATACATAAACCCAGAAAACCTCATACGTCCTCACCAATTGGAATACCTGCCGAGGACAGTTCCAGATGCGTCGAGGAGACGTGCTGAGACGATGATCGCACGTGGAACTTCGCTCTGCTTTGTGCGCATTGGTTGACCGGGAAGGTCGCCCGAGTATAGTTCAGTGCTGGCATTGGGAGCGAGTACAATATCCTTGGAGAACTGCTCCGTCCAGGAGGAGCAAAGGTCGAAGCAAGTGACTTCGAGTTTGGCCTTCTTCTCTGATAGAGTGCCGTTCGTGCCCCAGACCTCAAGAACTGTTGTAATTGTGAACTGGGCAGCTGACAAGTCATTCGCAAATGTTTTCTTTTCCTTGCGCGTCATCCCGACCGTGTACTGACGCAATTCACGTGAGATGGCAAAATACGCTGGTTTGGGACGCATAAAGTAATCGACAATGGCCCACGACGTGGTTGGCCAGCAGTCATTGATCTAGTTACCGTTAACTTGAGAACCCGACGTTTGTCCGATGACTCACCTGCCATACAAGAGCACCAGCGGTGTGCTCCCGACCCTTTCCACGCCAATTTCTCCGCCAGAGTCGGTAAGCAGATGCAAGCGTCTCAGCTTGCATGATTTGTGTGTAATACACATAACTAAACAGGAGTCAATTGAATCACACTAAACCCGTGATGACGGCCGCTAACCTGTCCATGTCGAAGGCATGCTTGAAGTTTTCCACGAGGTAAAGCTAGAAAAAGAGGGTAGTGAAGTTCTGAATGTCATAATATATGCTATCATACTTCCAACCGGCGTTCGAAGCCATCGGCCTTATTATGGTTATTGTTGACGCTGAGGGGACCTTCGGCATGACGTATGGTGAAGTACAATTTGCTTACCGAGATTGAGGATGTCGCTCTGACTTGTCGCCAGCAAGCCAATAATCAACTGTGCGAATGTTTGGGTATCCCTCCCTGGCGAAGCATGAGTGTTCGTAAGTGCCAGCAGGGTCAAAACCGCTCACATTCCGAATTCAGATACGAAGCGACCGGCGAGTAAATCCCAATTGTGCCACGGTTCTTGAGACCCATGCCATACATTCCCTGAAGACATATTGGAATAACAACATATATCACCGAATCTTTCACGTACACTGGTGAAGGTCCCCTAGTGTTTTATCTGTGGTCACTGTACCCGGGGCACTGTAAGGAGAACTGCGGTGGTAGTGGATATCGCAGAATTTTTGAACGATGGATGGCAGTGTCCGCTCATATATGTGCCGAGCAGGAAACTTGGTCTTCCGGAAGTCCGAAGTTTCGTCAGAGTAATCCACGATATTTATTGATTCTGCAAGTTGGTAATCCTCATTGTTTCCGGCTGTAAAAAAGTTAAGAGTGAGAAACACTTGACAAAAGTTTTTATTTACCGAAGATAACAATAGATGGGTGGTGTCTCAATCGCTTGACGTTTTGTTCCGCTTCAAGTTCGATAAGCTTTAGGAAAGAATCATATGCCGGATACTAGAATACCTTTGAGCCTGGACTAACAGTGCAACAACAGCAACTTACTTGACCGCAGCCGAACATAAAGTCTTGCCAGACAAGAACTGCAATAGGATTTAAATAAGCGGACTGCCGAGTTGAACAAAGCCCTACTTCCAAGTTCTAATGGAAGGAAGGTTATGAATCAAATGCGCGAGGGCTAAGAGGATAGCGCTCACCATCGCAAATATCGTAAAAAATATCGTATTCATAGATGCCCCCTCCCCAGACACGAACCATATTCTGATTACCATTCACGAGCAGTTGAAGCCATGCACGATACCTTCCCGGAGTAAGGCTGTAGTAAATTTGGTCAATAAGATGCTTTGATAAAGGTAGCGCCATACTAACGTAGTAAGAAAAGAGTCGGCAGGAATCCAGTTAGAACCTATAGACATAGTTTCACTTATACATTCCCTCAAGAAAGAGGCATTGTTTACCACCACAAAAAATCCTGATGTTGTTGACTTCGAACAAGAAAGTCAGACCTTCCTGATCAACAAGAGGCTCCTGGACAACTCGAACACGGCGGAACGATACCCTCTGAGTTTTCGTGTCCAGAGTGTTTCCTTCCTGTTGAACTATGCGTTAGGCCACGCCGCAGTGTACTATATGAGGAAGGATCGCACTCACCGAGTCAGAAATGATTACCTCGACTGTATACAGAGGTTGCTTGCCAAATCCAACTGGATACCACAATTCGAGCACTCCGGACGAGAAGCGGAACTCAGCGCGGGCACTCCCAGAATCGACTTTTATATTGCTCTCTGCAAGGATCACAGAATTCTGTGCATTTTTCAGCGCCACAGATGCCAACCCGCTGGGGGCCTTCTCAGACAGCGTCAAGTCAACAGTGATTCCTACGTCCAGAGCCTCCGACACATCACTTCTTACGTCAACATCCGTGAGGTAGACGTTGTACGTGTGAAGGGTGATAGGCTTCCAAGGGCCAATGGTCATCAAAACTGGCCCCCAGTCCCAACCATAACTTTGGTGCACATCGACAGCCTTCCCATTAAGATCAACAGCAATACTCACTTGTATTGTGCCTTGCGTACATGCAAGCGACTGGAATCGCCATTCCAAAGATGCAACTTCCCGTGAGCTTGCTCCAGTTCCCTCCCCTAACCAGCTAACGTTCAGCCGCAGCAAGTGTTTAAAATATTGAATTAGCTCACCTTCAGGAACGCACTCGAGAAACTTATAACGAGCTCATTGGCACCCAGTTTCAAGTATTGCTTTACAGGTGCTCTGTATGCGATAAACTGATTTTTCGTGCTGAGTAACAATAAATATTAGAGGAGGAGACGGAGACAGATCGAAGCGCGCTGACTCCAAAATTTTATGCCCATTCTATGTCAAAGTATCGTTTTAGCACCCGGGTTGGCATCATGTGGGGGTGACAAAATTTATGTAACGCACAAACTCCACGCTTGCGAATGTATCAAGACCGTCGAACACGAGGTCAACATTGACGGCCGCAAGTTCTTTCGCAGAAACTTCAAAGATGTTCTTGAAAGTCCAGTCGGACTCTCCGACCCCTAGTAGTTATACACCTCAGTCAGCCCCTGAGACACAATTAAGACCAGCATCATGATGGCGCACATTGAACCTCCCATTCATTGAGACCCAGAAACTGTGGAATAAGCCGAGTCTAAGTTAGTCGATGTGATATTTATCATGATTGGACACACTGGATCTGGAATACGCTCTGCCTTCAGAAGTTCGACGTGTACCGTGGTTGGGAACTGCGATACCGCCAACCATTCGCCGTTCTTCGTGCCACGTCCGCCGCCTACTTGGGTGAAAGACCAATGTTGTGTCAAAGATCTGGTGATGCTCATGGTCATGGTGGGAGTAGTAGTAACGAGAGGGATTGACTCTCTATGATGGAGCAGCTATAAATCCTGGGACATGGGGACAATCGAGAATCGAGATCACCTGTATCTTAATCCTAAACATCATAGTTCACGGCATGGGGATCATATATTACCGATATTTCTCCGAGTAGACACCGTAAGTACTTGACTGGTCCCCCGACGCGCGCTACCTCCACTAAGAAACATGGCAAGTATATATATATTGTGGTAATCGACGACCAAACGACGACGATTTCTACGCACAAAAGAATGTCGACTACTACAATGCAGTAGATATTACTAGTAGCCTGCCCATGATGACATTAATCATAGCAGATATGTGAAGTCCTCCAGCCCCTCTTCTGTCTTATTTGCTTCGATCTCCTGATTCAACCGCACCAAGTGTCGCCTGAATATCCACGACATTACGATGCAAAGAATACCGCTTCCTATACAGATAGCATACGAGTTCCAATAGGCAGGACCCCATGACTTTGGCCAGACGTAGCTGATTTATCCGAAAGTGCGCATGAGAGATTTTGAACAGTCACAAGATCTGGAACACTCACGAGCCAGCGATATTTCCTAATGACGAGAATGCGTTGATGAATGCAAGGGCTACGGCCCGCTTTGATGTTGGACGGGGAATAGAGTTGCTCACCCATGCCCAGTACACGACAAATGCCGTATAAGACTGAGCCATCAGGAATCTGGAACAGTGTCAGTCGGTCAACGACTGGAGTAAGAGAGAAACATTACAATGAGAGGTATCTAACTGCGGTGTTCATAGTCGCCATGGCCATCATAAACCCGGCGATCCCGACGAGTAAAGGTATCATAATGTGGCCAAAACGTTCGCCTGTTGCATCAGAATGTCTCCACATGATGTCAATTGGGACTCAAACACGGACCAGAAGATAGTTTACCTTGACATCAAAAATGCCACGCATGTTGCAAACAGCCAAGGTGGGGAGCAAAGCAACAATGACACAGTCGAACTGTAGCCTAGCGTTGCACTCAACGTTGGAAAAAAGGCGTTGAACGATAGCAAGACATTCAAGACCGCCATCGCAAGCGCAAGCCACCAGACCTTCCAATCTGCGAATGCCTGCTTCAGACCCGATTCCCCACCTTTGGAACACTCAGTTTCATCATCTACACCAGCATCTTCCTCCATTCGTAATTGAGCAAGAACTTGTTCTTCGGCTGTGAGCCAGGAAGACGACGTGGTAGTGGCAGGGAAGTCGGGAAGGATGAATATGGCGCATATTGCGACGCAAATGGTCATAGAACCTTCGATGTAAAACAGCCATCTTACGAGTGACGCTAAGCACCAGGTCGACAGGAAACTAACATCACTTACCTCCAAGCTGCGATACCCATGACTCCGTCCATGCCGTCCAGAATAGCTGATGCCAAAAGTGACCCAAAGGCATTACTGATCATAATACCTACACTACCAACGTTGGGTGCATCAAATTTTGTATGGAAGGGGACTGACCACAGCTTAATATCGCTGTTCGTTGTCCAAGCTCTCTTCGCTTGTACCTGAGCGATGTCAGTGCGCGGAAAAGACGCCTGATTCCTTTCAGTACTCACCATTTAGATAGGAGAAATAAAGCACCAGGAAAGAATGCGGCCTCGACGAATCCCAGGAAAAACCGAGTGCATACAGCTCCAAGGAAGCTTCAGAACTTCTTCAGTTTGTATATTGCCCAAAAGCTAGAAAACGTACCCCTTTGTCGTTCCTGGTTTTTAATCAACATCAATAATCTTCATGCTCAGGTGCTAAACTGACCCGTTAGGACTGATATTAGACCCCATATTGCCATGCATATCGGTAGATATATGGAGGGCCTCCCTATCTTGTTCAAGTACATATTGCTTCGTCTTCGTCAGCATCACACTAAAAGGAGTCCTCAAGTCACATACGATGGAACCTGCATTAGTGTGTAGCCGACGTAAAGAATACTCAATATGGTATTGAATTGTTGCCCTTCTAAATGAAGATCGTCCTCAAAGCCGCGTAATCTAGCTGCACTGTTACGTGTCGAATAGAACTGCAACTTCAGCCATGGTATAAGGGTCGGCATGAAACGTGAACCCACGCTGCATTATTGCGATCGATCTGCAGTTGTTAGATTATCGGCCAAAGCTAGTAGGTACTAACTCGGCTCACATAGTTTAAGATATAAATGAGGACGAGGATGGACATCCTAAGGTCGACTTTACGGAGAAGATTTTGTTCCACACGCTGTCTGTCAGGAAACTCGTCGCAAATGGCATTCTGCAAGCCGATATCGCTGTCCAGGCTGCCCTCGCACGCCGCAGTGTCAATATCTTCGCATGCTTTACAAAACAAACGGAGGGTCAATGGCTTGTTTGACAACTTTCCAATCGAACTCACGCAAACGTTCGTATGCAAGCCCACGAGAAGTTCTGCTCGACATATGAGATGGTCCGGGACAAAGAACGATACCTGTTGGCATTAAGAATGGCCCTGAGAAATCACAATGCCGCACGCTAACTAACTTTGTACCTGGATGTCCCAGACAGCTGGATTGACGAGGCGTGTACTTCAACTCGAAGCATTGCAGCAATCCAGTTGAGCCGTATATTTTTGTAGGATTGACCATTTCAGGCTGGGCATCCTAGCTATCGTAGCACTGTCATTGAACGAGCCATTCCGAGTGTTTCAAATACGACTAACCAAATGAATCGGGTGTAGATACCATATTTAGCTCACACGAAATCTGCTGACTTGAAAACCTATCTCGGGTCGCCTAAGGCCTTCACGTCACGGTCATGCACTCAACTAACGAGAACAACTTCGACAACCGGTCGTGTATGTTTCTATTCCATTAATTTAATATTCTCTCTAATTTTGATACAACTTCCCCAGTACAATCCTCGTGACCGGTCTGAATGATTCAATGACCGTTATCACCACCTATAACCTCCCGCACCTCATGACATTCGTTGAGGGAGCATCAGCGTGCCCGACATTTTTCGTTGAGCAGAGAGTCAATTATTGTGTCACAATGACCTTTGCCTTGCAACAGTATTTGCCTGTGACGCACCCCAGTGTGCCCAAGCTCGCACATTCATTAAGAATATCGTTTATATTTCTGGTGAGCCTATCTTTTGGTGGGTTTGGCTTGATCTTGCTGGGCTATGACTCTGTGCTCACATAATTCAGTCGTTTGTCTTTGTATTAGGGTACATATTTGTCTGTTTAGATGATCATGTATTGATCAAGCGAGCAAATTTTACATTTGTTCAGCATACAGTGCTCAGCTGGTGTAAGTGACTATCCTGTTTCTGTCACATCCCATCTACTACAAGCCTGGGCTCCACAGTTGTGCTTGTACAATCAATACGAACATCTGACATTATTCAGAAACACTGGAGACACGATGCATCCACCATGCTCCTTTCACGCAAGCGCTTCCAACTCCCCAGGCACACCCTCCTGGTCACCTTCTCAAACCCAAAAACTACCTGTGTCCCAGGTATCTCGCATCACTCTGTGCCGTCGCCGTCGCCAATTCTGGCACCACAACGCAGCCTATCACCGACAGTGTGCCTCCAACTTTCGGCATCCTTCCATAGGATCATGACAACTTGGTTCTTCGTAGATTCATTGGTTTTACCACTTAGGTTTAGACACATATGTTCTCAAATTGTAGCCACTATCAATCAGCCATTTTTACTGTTCTCTTTGTGTCACTCCTCTTTTATTTCCTTGAATTTATTTATTTATTTGTGATGTGAACCGTACATCCATAGATGCACCGCCCACTGCTTCCCAGCAGGCCCAGTCGAACAGTGAGTGCTACAGGAGATATCTAAACCCTTTGGGCAACCCTAGAGCGTGCTCTTCGGCTTCAGCAGCTCCATTGCACCGAGAAAGATGCTTCCTAAACGCCCAGCACATCGCAATAGACATGGCACCTGTTAGGATGCAAATGAAATATGAATTCACGTATGAAGGTCCCCAACTGGATGGCCAGAAGTACCTGCGATAGCGTGAGTGAAAGCATAGAGTACGAGGTCGCCGTTAACTCACGATGCACCAATGTTGCCAAATGTTGCCATCGAGTTTATCAGTGCGATGGCTGCAGCGCGTTTCGACCGCGATTGGGAAAAGGTATTCAATACCCAAGTCAAAAAGATAATATAGGCGACCGAGGACTGAGTCATAAAGAATCTTCACGAAGCCCATTAGCCTGCAAAATTGCAGAACGAAGATTGGAAGGTTCGTACAGTGACAGATAACGAACGGCCGTATTCATAGTAGACATGGCAATCACAAACCCGACGATGCCGAGAAGTAGCGGACCAGTGATATGCCAGAAGCGATCGCCAGTTGCATCGGAGTGCCTTATCTATCGTTAATTTGACTTTCGAGCCGTCAAGTAAAGACTAACCTGGCCACAAAAAACGAGGTCGCAGTTCCTAAAATCCATGGAGGTGCGCAGAGCAAGAGGCTGATAGTTGCGTTGTAACCCATTGTAGCAGATAGTGTCGGGAAAAAAATTGCCGAATGATAAAGAAGCGGTCATGAAACTAAGGGCAACCCCAAGCCACCATACTCTCCAATCCATGACAGCCTCGGAAAGACCAGAAAAGCCCTCTACAGGCTTGCCTTGGTCCTCATTTCCGGCTGCAGCGTCCTCCTCCATCCGTCGTTTGGCCAGTATTTGCTCATCAGGCAACAACCAGACGCTCGGAGTTGAAGGAAAGTCTGGTAAAATCCAGATTGCACACACTGCAACTATGATGGTCAAAGTGCCCTCCACGAGGAAAAGCCACCTGCAGCATCTAAGTCAGCGTTACTTTTGAGACATGCAAATCTCGCTGCAGACCTCCAAGCCGTGAAACCCAGTATACCGTCTAGGCCTGCCAAAATTCCTGACGCGATAAGGGCGCTAAAAGCATTACTGACTGAGCTCCCGCAAGTAAGAAGCGCTGTGCGCAATCCTAGTTCGTTGCGCTTGTACCTAGAGAGATTTCAATATACACAACTAGGAGGGCATGTAACGATTATACCATTGCGAAAGAAGGAATACAGCCCCGGGAAAGAACGCTGCCTCGACAAATCCAAGCAGGAAGCGCAAGATCAGAGCTGCACGATACCTAAAGCAAAGTTAACTCGAGAGTGGACAATACTGCAAGAGTGACAGATACCAACGTTTGTACCGTACCTTCCACGACCCTTGTTAGGCGATGTTGATCAAACGAAAAATATACGTACTGGTGAACAAGGTGATAGCGCCCCATATTGCCATGCAGCTTGAGAGGTACAGCGATGGCCTTTTCATGCGATCTAAGAAAGTGTTACTTGTGAATTCTCGGAGATGCCGTACAGGGATAACAGGGTAGCACATACGAAGGAGCTTGCATTAACACGTACCCCACATAGAGGATACTAATGAGCGTATTGAACTGATTCCCCTTCATGTCGAGGTCCTCCTCAAAACCACGCAACCTCGCTGCACTTGCGAACGGGCGGTTGAGCCACAGTATTCCAAGTAATTTCGAAGCTGGGTCACGTACGCTGCATTACTACGGTCCATCTATGCAGGGAATTTAGGCAGTAGCGGGAACACCAGGTGCACCAACTCACATAATTCATAATGTAAATCAGAACCAGGAAGGCTACTCGAAGGTCCAGCTTACGGAGAAGCCTCTTCTCCGTGAAAGCTCTGCTCTGCTCATCACTGTATGGGAGTATGGGAGTATCATTGTTGTTGCCAGACTCAGAGGCACCGTAGCGTGGACTGTAGTTGCCTACATCGAGCAGTGGACGATCTGACATTCCTCAGGCCTCAGGCTCGCTCTTCTTTTAATGCGGCGCCGAAAGGTTGAGTAGCTTCAGCTCAGATACCAGCAGTCGCAGCAGTAGACCAACCTAGCACCGTGCTAGAACGGAGTGATCTTTGCCGTTGGCCCGTTCTACCCGAAAGAAGGAACGACCCTTGCTTCGCCTGTCAACAGCGCTATCGTATGGGTCGATAAGTAACTCGCTTTAATAGTAAGGTTTATCGCATGTTTGTGGTCTGAAGCTGCGAAACGTATCACGGCATCGGCATCCTCAATTTCCCTCGACTCCTGGGATTTGCTGATATCATATGATACTCAAAGTACCTCACAAAAGCACCAGCACTGAACCCATTCATCTACCGCGATTATGGCAGCAGTAATCACACTATACCCTACAGTGACCCCGCCGACCTACCACAGAATCGTCTCCCCAACCTTGAAGATTCCTACAGATACCCAACGACCAATACCCGTGGGTCTCCTGGCATGTCAACGTGAGCATCTTGGTCTCGCATCCAGACATTTCCATCTAAACTGAAGTTCAGGCGACCCGCTCTTGCGCGAACTGGAGACATCAATTATCAGCTGCACGATCTCACAACCTGCTTCCTTTCCTAGCGTTAAGAAAGGAAAGAAGACATCGGCAACAGCACCGGCCGATCAACCCACACTTGAGGTCATACTGCATGATACTGTCATCTTTCCGGAGGGCGGGGGACAACCATCAGATACAGGTATAATCAAAACAGCTGATGGACGTACATGGACGGTGACTCAGGTTAAACGACACGGTGGACATGCAGTTCACTACGTCCGGGTTGATCAAGCTGAAGACGGTCTTGCTTCTCTCACCCCTGGGACCAGCGTTACTGTTGCTCTCGGAGAGCTTGATTTCGATCGCAGATATGATCATGTACGTACCCGACTTCCTTATCATAGCGAAATCATCAAACTGGAACCCAATAGATGTCCATGCACACATCGCAGCATCTCCTTTCTGCGGTGCTTGAAAATCGTCTCGATATTCATACCCTTTCTTGGTCGCTCACTGCTGCACCAGCACCTTGTTACGTCGAACTCGCCAGAAGTATGACTACGGAGGAAATCTTGGCCATGCAGAGTGAAGCCAATAAACTTGTGTTTGAGGGACGGAACGTCCATGTAGAGGTGCAAGAGATGGATGATAAACCACAACCTGCAGTACCTGTATTAGAAAGTGGTCGTGCCGTAGGCAAAGGAGTCCCGACCGACTACACTGGAGGCATCATGCGAACAGTAATCATTGACGGAGTAGATCGTAGTCCGTAAGTTCCTCCAATTCTGAGGATTACTTTAGAAGCTTAACATCAATATTACAGATGCTGTGGCACGCACCTTCCTACCCTTCACAACCTTCAACTTTTCATCATACCCCAAACGGAGTCCCTTTCTAGGTCGGCTACCACGTCTGCTCGTTTGTATTTCCTTGCTGGACCGCGGCTCATCACCTACCTCACATCAACGCACTCCCAACTCACAGCTGCTGCCGCCACGCTCAGCTGTGGTGCTCCGCAAGTCCCAGATCGTATAGGGCAAGTCGTGGACGAGCGGAAGAGAGCTGAGAAGAGAGTCGATGACCTTGAGTTCGAACTTGCGAAACATGTCGCACGCGACGTTTGGCAAGAAATGATGTCATCTGAAGCAGTCCTATTTGTCAAACATGTGCACCGGACAGATGATTCTGTCAATCCTCTCGGATTTTTGTCAGCGATAACCACTGCTTTCGCAAATATCATTCCAGCAGAGCGGCCGTTCTTGCTAGTATTTTCATCTTCCCCGTCGTCCCAGACGAGCTCGAGCGCAAACGTGCTGCTTGTCTTCGGATCGGACGAGAAATGTGTCAAGCCGGCTGGAGACTTGCTCAAAGGCAAACTGAACGTCAAAGGAGGTGGTAAGGGCACGAGGTGGAGTGGTAAATTTACTGGTGTCTGGAGAGAAGGCCGCGAGGACGCCGTCGTTTCCGAAGTCCTCAAAGCGATTTCGACGTAGAATCCATACACGCTCTAGAATATTACAAACAAAACAACTTAAAAGAAATCAATGTACATCCATAAGTTACCTCTAGAAACTTATTTATCGCGTGGAGAGGGATCGTCGCAAGTAGCATCCGCCTCCACACCAGTGTCAACATCAGACGTGCCACAGAATTGTTCTATTACAGAGATGTCAGTGGACTTCGATGAGTAGGTCGAGTAACACACCGCGATCCTCTTCGAGCAGACCGTTCATATTCGGCTCAGCATGGTCTTCCTCGTCGTCAGACTCATCACCACCATGCAAGTCAACATAACCCCAGATGTCATCCAGGTCTACTTCCATCTCCTCCACCTCCAGTTCGTCGTCGAACTCATCCATTCCGAAGAAGTCGTCTTCTTCATCTTCATCATCGTCAGGAAAATATTCATCATCAGAGGATTCTGCGTCAGATTCGGTGTACGGTTTTATATCCAGAAAAGGATGTCGACACGTTGGACAACTGCCGTGCTGCAGATAGGAGTAGTAGATGTCAGCGGAACGTTCGACTTAATTATTTACCACTGAAAGATAGCACTCACAAAATTTCGTATCCACTCTGATAAGCTGCGTGCGATTGTAGCTTAATAAAATTTTGATCGAAGTAAATCACGCACTCCTTCCGACAGAACAAGTGGCCGCAGCCCACTACCTTTGTCACACCATCTTCAAATTCTCCTTCTCCTTCCTGGGGAACCTCACCAGCAAGTATTGCATCAAAGGGAGTGAGACATATGGCACAGGATTCGTCCTTTGGAATGGCGGAATTTTGCAACACAGGAAGATCGTCCAAGGCGTCTTTGACACGTTGGAATAGGGCAAGATGACGCTCGGAGTAGACTGGAATATCTCCGCTGTCGTCCATGTTATTCTTCTGTCTAAAATGTGGAGTCGTCACGTCTTTGTCGACCTCGAGGAGATGATGCTGCTGCAGCTGGTCCCAAGCTGATCCCGTCAACAAACACGCGTTACACGCGACCTTATCACGTGATGACAGGGTGATGGTGTAGATACCAAATTTAATATCCGCGTTTTCGGGCAAAGCACTGGGCACCACTGTGACATGCCAAGTCTGCCAAGTACTATTGAAGTACTTATCATGATGAGCCGGAACCAAATGACCAGTAGAGAATTCTCAGGCGGCCTCTCTCCACTGTCCTTGTGACCAGCTGTCCGTTATCGCTGTTGGTAGTGTTTCCGCTGCTTTAAACATGAAGCTCGGAAGACAATTCAGTTGTTCGGCTTCCCGCCACTATCAATAACATGTCAATTAGCCAATATTCAGATTCTGCATCGCTCCCGCCCTCCAAGGAGCATGTAGATCCCGGAGACATCGATCCTGACGCGGAATTTGGTGGCCTAGCTGCACGTAAAGAACTGGAGCGCAAACTCTTGCGGAAACTTGACCTCCGCATGTCGATCCTGGTACTTATCTATATCCTCAATTATGTGAGTGACTTTGCGTCAACGCGTCTTTTCTCCATCTCACTTTGGTACTAGATCGATAGAAATAATGCTGGGTACGCTCTTTTCATGCATTCCTGACGCATCGTTCACGAATAAAAAGTGCCGCGCGCTCCCGAGGGCTGGTCGCCGACCTTCATCTCACTGATCAGCAATTTGCGACGTTGTTGTCCATTCTCTATGTCGGATACATTATCATGCAGATCCCGTCTAACATGTTTCTTAACTTCACCGGCAAGCCGTCACTTTATTTACCTGCTTGTATGGCCGTTTGGGGTATGATTTCGGCACTGACTGGGATTACGACCAAGTATGACGCATTTTCTATGTCTGAAAAAACAACTAACCACACTCACTTGTGATAGTTTTACCGGAGCCGTCTTAACGCGTTTCTTTCTTGGCTTCGTAGAAGCAGCCTTTTTCCCTGGTGCCCTATTTTTAATTTCGAAGTGGTTCGTGGGCAAGCGATCTTATCAGTGGACCGCCTCACATCTTATATACAGGTACAAGAGAACAGAGATAGGTTTCAGAACCGCAATTCTCTACTGGTAAGGGCGCCAATCTATGGGGAGATCTTTCCATTAACAGGAACATTGCAGCGGAAACATCATTAGCAATGCCTTTGGGGCGCTCCTCGCATCGGGCATCCTTGGTGGCATGAACAATGTCCTCGGACACGCCGCATGGAGGTATTTCAATCAAGTTCTTTTTGCAGAGGGACAGGGTCTGAATCTGGTTTTTGAGGTGGCTTTTCTACCTCGAAGGATCTCTCACTGTCTTTGTCGCAATCTGTGCCATATTTATTTTGCCAGACTTTCCATCAACGACGAAGTGGCTTTCTGATGATGAGCGTCGACTTGCATTAAGGCGTATGGAGGAGGATGCAGGTGTTGGTGACCAGAAAGAAACCGAGCAGGGCGGCCTCGCTCACGGTCTTTACCTCGCTGTTACCGACTGGACAGTGTGGTGGTTTGCGATGGCAGTGAATGCAATAGTGGTATCATTATCCTTCAATGCATACTTCCCCACTCTTAGCGCCACGCTTGGGTACAACCCAACAGTGTCACTGCTCCTTGTTGCCCCTCCGTTCGTCTTTGCGGTCATTGTCACATTCTGTCTGTGCAGGTAAGCTTCTATAATGTGATCTAGGAACTAATAATGAAGAACTCCCCAGGCACTCTGATTACAAGCAAGAGCGCTTCTACCACATTATTGGTTCATGGATTACCGGTATTATTGGGTTCATTATTGCAATAAGCACCATGAACACGGCAGCGCGATACGTGTCCCTGTAAGCGCAGGATCTTGACTTGTGGCGTATTGCTGATTGTACCCAGGTTCCTCATGGCGCAGGCATACGCAGGACTCGTTGTGATGCTCGCATGGATGAATAACTCGTTCCCTCGACCGCCGTCAAAGCGTGCGGTATGTGTGGCGATCATCAACGGATTTTCGCAACTCGGGAATGTTGCAGGGTCG